GCTCTTCAATTCACATTTTAGAGTTTCATTTTAATTGTATGTATCCCTTTATGTGGGTATCTATATCTGTACGGTTAAATGCACATATATATATATATATATATATATACATATATATGTATGTATACTTTTAGTCAGTCTTGCGGTTAAAAATGTTTGTTTAAGTCAATCTATCAACAGTCGACATGTGAAACTTACCTTAGTATCCTCTTCTTATTTTGCATATGCAAACTCATATATATATATATATATATATATATATAAAGGGTGCATATTTCTGTAAATATATATATATGTATTTATGTATGTGTAGATATGTTTACTTATATTGTGTGTGTTCATATTTGCTTTTACATTTGTAAACAAGGACAAAAAGCAATTCCATCATATTGCGCAATTTTAACAATCGTGTATATGAGGAGAGCATAGATTCTGCATTATAATGAGGCCTTTTTTTTTTATTCTTTTCAATTCAGCTTTATTGCTGTGTGTGTGTGTGTGTAGCTGTTATTGTTGTTCTTGTTATTTTGATTGCTGTTACTTTGCTTCGTTTCTTTGCTTCACTCTCTATCGTTGCGTCTGTCCTTACATCTGTCCATATTGTCTGCTTTTAATTTGTTGCTGTTATTTTTCCCTTCGCAGTGTCAGATGAGATATTAGAAAAGAAGTGTTGCTGTTACCGCTGATGCTGCTGCTGTTGTTGTCGCTGCCGCTGCTGGTGGTACTGTAAATGCAGTTTATTGTAAAACTTGCATTTAACTCACTAAACGATAAATTTCTTTCTTGTTAATCTTGTAACGCATACAAAACACACTCACGCATAACATAAAGCAACAAACATCCACTGCATCTCCTACAAACGTCATTAGTAAAGCAAAGTAGAAAAGCATATAAAAGTCAAAGTTGAGTGTGATTGAAACGTATGACAAAAGGTGGAAATTTGATATTCCGTTTGTGCGTGTGTGTCGTACGCGAATTACAAAAAAAAAAAATAAAAAAAAAAAAAAAGAAAGGAAGAAAAAATTGCACTTAATTTTATGTAGAACGCGGAGTGGATTTTACTGTTTACTGTTTAGTCAGGTAATCCAATGAAATATAGTCCTTAGGCTTTGCATACACATTGTGTCACTAATGCTTCATAAGAAAGCAAAAACATTTTTCTTTATTCTATCTAGCAACTTTTTCTGTGCGAGGTAACTTTTTTTAAGCATTTTATGAATACGCAAACTTTACGATTCGTTCTATTTAATTTTAATCTTTTATGTAAGGCAACACACGCGTAAGGTACGTATTGGGGCTTTTGAAGAGTTCAAGATCAGTACATTTCTTTTGAAAAATGGATCCAATTTTCAATATAACAGTATTTGACAGTACTTTTGCATTGACAATAGCAGCGATGAAGAATCCATATGTCAGCCTATACCTTAGACTCCTCTTTCCCTTAGGGGGTTTCTAATCTATATATATATATATGTATATAGGTATACTAGGGTACACTTGGAAGTTTGAACGGTGAAGACAATTGCTGGCGATATCTAATGCCACAAATTTATTTGTAAATCAGAGGGTTTTTGAAACTGGAGGCAAAAGTAGATAATTCCAAAAAAATCTGTTTAAATTTGCTTGTGGGGCCGCAAATATTGCTACCAAAAAACTTCATTCCCAATCGGATTATATTTTTTTGAATTAGGCCATTGCCTAGTACATGGTCTTATTGAGACAGCGCTTTTCCTCGGATTTAAACGTCTTTTCTATACTCATCACAAACTGCAATATAACAATTGGTGCCGATGGCTTTTCTCTTCGCAAGGTAATCAATGGAAATTATCCCAAATATGCTGGTTCTCCTTTCAGTCCATTGTATTAACCACAGTTTTGTTTTACGTTTGGTGGGGTCAAGGATTTCTTGTTACGAGCTCGTACATGGCCGAATGTTCGACTTACGCTGCTACTTTTGCTCTATTGTAGGCAAAGACAAGCATCTAGAGGTTTATCATGTCTAAATTTTCGTTATACAGCAATTTTGAACTGCTTACTATGTCTGCTGGCTCGTGTACTTTATGTATACGATCATCCAATAAAAATTTTGACTGTTGCGAGATTCGTCGTACGGCCTCGTTCAAATTCTTCTAATAGTTTATTTTTACCACTAATAGAGTAGATCTCCCAGTGTTGCATTTAGCACGGCTTTGATGTCGATTGGTCCTGGATAACATTGCATTCCCATACAAGTTGCTTGAGTTGACGACTTCTCGGCAAACACAATAACATGGCGTCTTGAAATGTCAAACTCAAGCTCCATTTATAGCAAGCGCCGAAACAAACAACCGCCAACGAAATGTTGATTAGCTTGTTTCAGGGAATTCCGTGGTTTTTCTTTTCCTTTGGCTCAATTTTTCTCTCAATGCATTTTGAATTGTTCGAATCCCTGTCTGTCGTCTGTTGCTGGAAAATACTCAATAATGCAGAAAGAACTATGTGAAGCTGAACATACATGTCTTTAGTCGATGGCCACAAGTGAAGTTTGATAGTGGTTATGGCCTTAGCAAAATAGTGCAGTCGACAGTACGAAACAACCACAACTGCAACGGTCGAAAAATTTAAGATAAACAGACGATACGTAGCACGTGGTGATTAAACAACTGTAAGTGTAGCGGTCGAAGAAATTAATATAAACAGATGATACCTAGCGCTTGGGGATTACGTATCTTGTCCATTTGCAGTAATACCCGAAGTAGATAAAAAAATTGTAACTAACATCATATAGAAGATATTGACTTCAAATCCGCTATAACTAACTGCTAGGGATATTACGAAAATAGTCCCCAGCGCTCAACTGGTACACTAGCGTGTAAAAAATATATGCAAACTTGGATCAAGATTTCATGATAAGGTTCACTTGTTTAATCTTGTAACATGACTGCTAATGCCATATAACAATTGTTAGCAAAAGTAAGGGAAAATATTTTCCGCCCAAAAAGTGAATTTCAAATATCTATAACCTTAACCTAAAAGCTAAGGGCATTTTATTTATTGAAGGATAATTGCACACAGTTTCGTTTCTAATCTGTGAACTGGAATCAATTAGTGGCGAACTTTGAGTCATTTGTTCGCCTTTTATAAAGACAACGAAGACTTTCTTTTCCCTTTGTTTTAGTCGGCATTAAGAAATATTTCTACCAGTTGGTATATCACATATTCCTTAACACCTTCATTAATTACCTCTCTTCGTGTTCACACTTGCTTTAAAACTTGAAAGCTGTGAGGCTTGTTAGTTAAGAAATCATGTGCAATGTTTCATCATTCGCTCTCAAATTGTGAATATCTTAGTCATGTAGGTGCCAGACAAACGAAACTGAACTAACTATCTGCCCAGCATTTAATGTTAACCAACCAATACATACACCTCAGACGCCCTCCAAAGCCTGTTATTGTTAATTGCTACAAACAGAATGAAATATTCAGCATTTTTAAGTATGAAAATATTTGATTCCAATTAAACCTTATATCATTTCAAAGCATTTTTATGGTTTCATTGATATTTATTAACATTTCGTATACATCAGCGACGGAAATCTGAATTACTTAACTATTTGTTTCATCACTTCAAGTATACCTAGCAATTTGCGTTTGCTTTTAATTATTACGGAAACGTGCTTATAAAAAAAAAAAAAAAAAAAAAAAAAAAAATCAGCACATGGTGCAGCAAAGACTGTCCGCTCTTGTTGCGTGTTTAACTCCTCTCTTTTTTTTCCCCCGTTTTGCATGTAGTAAGAAATTCCAGACTTGCTATTTTTATGGATGTAGTAAAGATGTATTTCATTTATTTATGAAAAATTCATTAAATATTATAAAATAAAAATTTATATGGCAGTACGTGCAATTAAGAAATGTTTTTAAAAAATTCCATTCAATTATTGACGGATAAGTTTTTTTTTTTTTTATCAACGATATATCGTTATCACGGTATGGATGGATGGCCCATACAATATATGTGGGAAAGGAGAAAATCAACTAAGTTCTAAGAAAAGCGTTATACATAATGAAAAGCAAAGAAATAGAGAAAGAGATAGGAAGAGCGACAAGGTACGAAAGAGATGAAGCGTGAGAGCGTTTATTTTGAAAGCAAGCAAATCATGTAAAGGAGCGCATGTCATCTGACAGAATAGAAACAACATGATAATGAGATTTTCAATCAAAATTGTTGACAGATTTTAAAATGCTTATGATAATGACGATAACGATGATGATGATGGTGATGATGATGATGATGATGATGATAATGGATTTTTGCATACAAATGTATTGCGAGTGTGCAGAATCAGCTTAAATAGAAGATAGATAGAGAGAGAGAGAGAGAGAGAGAGAGAGAGAGAGAAAGAAAGAAACGGGGGCAATATGTGCATTTGTCTCGTTTTCTCTTTACGGCGAAAAAGAGAGCGGGAGAGAGCGAGAGATTAAGGGAAATCAGTGCGCGCTCACATTTTCATTATTCAGCAACAAGCTTCAATGATGCTGTGATGCTGTGATATTGTGACGCTGTGATGCTGCGATGTGATATGTTCTACTATAAGCATTTATTCTCATATTTGAAATAACAAAATCCCAGTGAATAAGTGAAAACGAAACTATAATTGCACACGGTTTTACAATAAACTGTGGCAGTATAACGCGAGCCCTTGGCTGGTAAGGGTACAAGAAAGAAAATTTTATAAAAATTACAAAAAAAAATTTCTATTCAATTAATAAGAATTTCTGTGCACACGGTTGTCATCACAAACAAAAAAAAAAATAAAAAAATTTAAAAAAAACCAAAAAAAAAAAAGGAAAACTTTTGCATTAGAAAAACGACTTTATACCTCAGCTTTAACATTACTAATAATAATAATAATAATAATAATTTACGAAAAATACAAAAGGAGAAAAACTTGTTAAGCAATATAGTGAAAATGAAAAGAAAAACAAATTTGTGACAGATGAAGGCTTGAGAAAAAATTCGAATGAGAATGAAAACTAAAACAAAAACTTAACTGGTTTTATGGTAACTAAATAAAAAAAAAAACATTACTTTGTTTTTCTCTTCATTTTTATTTTTTTTACGCCGAGTTAAATTTTGATTTTCTTTTTCTTTTTTTTTTTTTTTTTTTTTGGCCCTTTGATATATTGCGGTATGGTACGCCAGTTTGACAGTTAGTTTAGTTGTAGGCCTCGTCGTCCTTATTTTATATTCGTTGTCCTCGCTTACATCGTAAATTTTATGTATGTGTGGGAGTTGCTGCTACTGATTAAATGACACGTACAGTAACTGACTGTATGCTTATTTTTTTTAATTTTTATTTTTATTTTTTTTTTGTGTTGTTCTTTGAAAATTTCCTCAAAATTCACCACACAATGTAATTCAACACAATCATCATTTGCTTACTCGTTTACTTAACAACAGAGACAATAATTTTGTTTAGAGGGAAAGAGAGCAGCATCAAAATCAAAAAAGAAAGAAGAAAAATTAGCGGCTCAATCGTAACCATCGTGACTGTAAATATGGAAATATACTGTGAAAAAAAGAAAAAAAAAAAATTAAAAAAAAAATAAACTGAACTTCTGTTATCTGATGCACCTAATGTGATTCTCTTGTGCTGTAAAGTAATAATGAACACTGTATAAATTTATTATTAATTCAATTTGTAGTAGCTCGCACTCTTCCTTTCCCCATGTCTATGCCAGTTACATGCACACACATTAAACACACACACACACCCATACACATACTCCTTCCATCTCTCTCTCTCTCTCTCTCTCTCTCTCTCCCTCGCTCTTTCTCTCAACTTTTCTCTCCCGCTCTCTCTTTCGCATTCTATTTCCTTCTTCTCTTTACTCTGAAATTTTTGTTACCTAGACTTTTTCAATCTTATGGGAGAGTGATGAGCAATACAATGTCGGTCGGTCGGTAGTTAGATGACTGAGTAGGCAAGTGCGTATGATTGAGTGGGTGTGTGCGTGTGTTTATACGTTTCTAACGCGTTCTTAATTAATTGAAAAGCATTAAAATAGCATAAAAAAAAAAGAAAAAAGAAAACCATAATCTCTCTCTCTCTTTCCTCCTAGTCAAGTGTTGATAATTTTAGCGATAAGCCAAAAGAAAAAAAAAAACAAAAAAAAAAATGTTACTTTGCGAGAAAAAAGTGGCAGAAAAAAAAAAAAAAAGAGAAAAAAACTAGAAGTGTATGAATATTGATTTTGTGTAAACAACACAGAGTCACGGCTAACATGATAACAACAACATCAATAACAACAACAATAACTATAGTAACAAGGACAACCAACAGCAACAACATTTTCGAACATTTCATTGCTGCCTAAATATATATATATATATATATATATATATATATAAGTGAATACTGACAACTAACTATTCTTATGCAGGCATAGAAATTCTGCGTAAGCGTGTGCCTGTGCGTACATATGTGCTTTAAGCTGCAGCAGTAAGTATCGTATGATTTTTCTTTACTAATATTTTTTTTGCTGGTTCGTTTCATTTGTTTTTTTTTTTTTTTTTTTTTTTTTTCTTTTTTTTTGTTAAATGTGTATCCAAAGTTGCGTCGTTGTTGTTATTGTCCGCATTCTCACTCTTGCTCACTTATTGGTCTCGTTTTACACACTTCCCTCAATTTCATATTAGATCATCATCTTTTTTGCCTCGACCCATTGTATTTATTTTGTGCATTTTTATTATTGTTGCTTCTGTTATGTTGTTTTCTGCAAAGATGTTCTTGTTATTGTTGTTGCGAATTTTTTATGTTCACTAGTATTTTTTTTTTTTTTTTTGTTTTCGTGTTTCACTATATCCGGTGAAATTCAAGAAGTATCGTAATAATATAACGAATGTACACAGACAGTTACAGCTACTAGTATGGTATGTGCTTTGTTAAGGATGAACGGACCTTTGCATATAGTCAGGCAGATAAACAGACAGACAATTACCGCATTTACATATTTATATATGCACATTCATACATATGTTGCAAACTCCATTGCTTGGTTACTGCTTTTGCTTCTGTTCCTGCTTCTGCCGCTGCTCCTGCTCTTACTCTTACTCTTACTCTTGCTCTTGCTTTTGTTGCTGCTGCTGCTGCTGCTTTATGTGAGAGACTTCGCTTCAAGTGCACACACTTGAAATGTTAAACGTTTGTTGTTTTTGTTATAGTGATTGTAAACCACTCTGCTGCTTGTCGGCAGTAAGAGAGCTGCCTGGCTGTTGATGAAGCTTTCCCTATAAGTGTCTATAATATTTTCCCTTTTTTTTTTTTTCTTTTTAATTTAAAAATTTTCTTTACTTTTCGTCGTGTACAACATCTGTTGTGGGTGAACCGAAATGAAAAGAAAAGAAAAAAAAAAGAGTTTATTTCCTTTTTATTAATACCGTATGTAAGTCTGAGTAGTCAGTCCTTCTACCGTTAACTTTTTATAACGTTATGCAAAATTTTTCTTTTTTTCTTTTTTTGTAATAATTGTCATAAATAGTCTTGCATGGTGAAGGAGAGAAAAAGAAGTAGGTCTGTTTAAGCTTAACAATAAGCTAAGAGCCATTGTATAAGAGTTTTTTAATTTGTTTTCCCTCTTTAAGTGATTAAGCTGTTAAATATTTATTTAAGTGAAAAAATAAAAAAAATAAAAAAATTAATAAAAAATTACTCTCTTATTTATTTACTTTGTTTTTTTTCTTTTTTTTTGCATTCAATATCCTTACAAGGATTTCATTTATATGAGCTGAGATATTCATGTGTATGGCAATCACGTTTGTTAAGAATTTTTTTATGACATTTTTTCATGTAGTAGCACGTTTTTTCGCCATAAAAATATTTATGAGGGTCGTAAATGAAATCTATTTGTCGAACAGGGAAATAATTTAAAGTAATTTTTAAAGATTAAAGTGGATGTGACGTTAGATATATTTCTTGTTTTTTTTTTTTTTTTTTCATTCATAAGACATTTCAGACAGACTTTTGCCAACACTGTAGTAAGGCGATGATTACCCATTAAACAGCGGCCTAGTCATTTTCTTGTTTCTTTCTCTCTTCTCACTTTTTTTCTGAACGCCACCGTGTTGCTCCTATCGGTCAAGTGGATTGATTATATTTAAAAAAAAAAAGCAGAATTCTTGGCTTTGTCCATTGTTTCAAAATATATTTCACTCACTCGTAACTGGAAATATGGAAATAGGAACGAGAAACTTGAACATTACAAATTTGTTGCGCGGCCCCCTTTAGTGCGCTTTTAAGTGGACGGTTCTATTTCTCAAAGTTTTAGCTTTGCCTTGCCCCTATTGGAGAGAGTTTATCATCAAATTGATAGGTAGTAAATTTAGCAAAGCTTAAACGATAGTTTTTAGCAATTGTACGTTACTTTAATGAGAAAGTAAGGAACCTATGCAGTAAAATTGTTGCCATTTGTCGAAATGTATTCGAGTCCATAATCCGGATTTTTTTTTTTTTAGTTTGATTTAAAGTTTTTATTAAATTATGATTTGCGGTCTTAATGTCGTAATCATTTTTCCACTTGAAAAAATTGCGGTTTATGGCGAAAAAAAAGTAATAAATAAAACAGAAAACGCATTTACTGTTGTGTTGCAAAAAAGTGCTGTATTTGAATGACAAGTGTTTTTTTTTTTTTTTTCGAAAACAACAGACGATGGTTTAATTCAATAATCTAGAGCGTTTCATCTTGACAATATCGCTTTATTTTGACAACATTAGAAAGATTGTGACAGAGGCACGACCGGGGTCATATTTCTTTTTCCTTCATTTTTAAATGACCTTAGTCATGCTTCTTATATTTCGGTTGCATACGTTAACCAAGGGCAAGCTTCGCCTAATTTTGTTTTCTGCAACGTAAATCTCTTCCTCACAGAGTGACACCATCTTCTGCGCCATAAACTCTTCGTATACTTTTGTTTTCTCTTAAAACCTCAAGTAGTTTCGAATTTTTCATCGAATTTTTATTTTGGTTTATGGAGCTTTGATCTTAGTAGATGCAAATTCGTCGCTGCTTCAACTAAGGTGTGAGTAATTTTCGATTGGTATGGGCAATGCGCTAACTGTTTTCTAACTAAAAATGACAAAAGGAACTTAAGCACATAACCTCAAATTAAGGGGGAAAAAATAGAAATGTCTATATCGTAAGTCTATAGTTGAAAATTCTGGCAAAAGGTTAAATTTTTTTAGCAAAAAAGTATGAAAGGCCTTGGAATTGATTTAAAATGTAGAGAAGTGTCAAAGGAAAACCCGTAACGTCAACAAAGCAAATAAAGCAAGAAAAATGAAGACATCTTTAAATAAAGCGCCCATAATTGAATTGTGCCAGGAGGTTAAATTTACAAGTAAAAGAAAGTTATAAACCTTGAAAAAGTTCTAAGGTCACCACTATCTTAATACTTTCAATATTACTTTTTTTGGAATTGAGAAGAGCAAAAGCAAGCATTTATAGAAAATGACATTTCATTTTATTGTCGCGAATCAATAAACGATTGTTTGTGTTGTGTATCTATAATCAAGCCTTTAAGCGTTTTTTCTGTTTGTCCGATTGCATCTATTTTGGAATTCCTTGTGCATATTATATATGCCAAGATTGAAATTTCTATTTAAATTCCTGCGATATCCGCACACACAATAACGGGCATAAAGATATTTCAACATTGTTCGAAATGTTATGCGTCAATATATGGAATTCGATTAAAAGTCTCCTCATGTAGAATTTCAAGTTTGGTATCATTTTAGCGAGTGGATCTTTTGAAGCGGCTCGCGCATATGTTGAGAAATGTGAAAAGATGGCTTCAACAATCGAAACAACGGTGAAGTTTTGACATATTTCATTTGAAGGTTGGTCTTATACTTATAAGCGGCAACATTTATCGGTCATCCTACGAACTTATTGAGTGATGTTTTGTTATCGGCCAAATTTTTAGTCTCAAATTTCATCCGATCACTTTGGTGACCCAATCATATCAAATTGGAGATATGCCATTGGGTGATGAGTAATGAAGTGATTGTAGCTTTTTTTGTTTTGTATGAATTGTAATAAAATGTTCGCATACAATTAAGAGATTTTTATGAGAAATAATTCACTTTGCCTTTAGAAATACTTTTTTGTGCATTCCATTGCGTATAAATTGAAAAGTTTTTTTTTTTTTTTTTTTCTAGATAATTATATGTCATTAAATCACACAAATATTGCAGTCATACATAAATTTTCGTATTTTTTTTCTAGTCGGTTTTTTTTTTTTAAATATTATTTTGGCTGCCATTTCCCTTTTTTCGAAAATGCTGACTTGAACATTATAATTTCCGTTTTGCACTTCTTTTAATGGGTTTGATGTAACGTTGTATGTATGAATAAAAATGTTATACATGTGTGGAAGAATGATATGCGACCTGATGTCGTTTATGCCATTAATACTATTACTCGTGAAGTGTAATTAAAATAATAATAATAATAATAATAATAAAAAGAGGAGGAATCGGTAGAAGGGTAACGAACATATTTCAGTTCAGACTTAGAATTCCAAGTGTAGGATTCTTAGCAAAGCCCAAATGATAATTTTTAACAAATGTTTACAACCACCATTACTTTAATGAGCATCAGGCCTGCCGAGTAGTACTAAAAATATTTTCCATAAAACGATGTTATATGCATAGGTTCGAATGTACGCAAAATGAAATGAACGCTTTTTTATGAATTCATTTAAAGCTTCAATAATAATATTTTCTGTAATCTTAACATTAAAACCATTTTTCTTTTTAAAAGTATCCAGGCTGATGGCAAATGAAAAACAAAAACAACAAAAACAGTAGATTCATTATTTGTCTTTGAAAAAAGTGCTGCTGTCGATGAAAAGCGTTTTTCTTTTCATTTGTTTTAGTTTTTTTTTTTGCTTAGCTTACAAACGTGAGAAATGATGAGAAAATCCAATACCCTACAATGAAGTTAAATCGTTTAACTTTGATGGCATTAAAGAGATAGTACTCTAGCAATGAAGTTGCATTTGTTGAATAAACGAAAGCAACTAATGCGATCTATACTCTCATCGTCAAACAATTAGAATAGAGATTTTCTATCAATGCAGTAAAGCAATGAAAAAGAAGAAAGAAAATACCGGCATTGAATGCTTTAAAGCTAACGAAAATCTTTTAATCTCTTATTCTATTGTTATCAAGCTTTTTCCTTAAGTTCTCCGATTTCTTCTGCTAAATTAAAAGAATAAAATAAACAAAT